TTTAGTGGAGACGGGGTTTCATTGTGTTAGCCAGGATGGTCTCGATCTCCTGACCTCGTGATCCGCCCATCTCGGCCTCCCAAAGTGCTGGGATTACAGGCTTGAGCCACCGCGCCCGGCCAGGAAGAACTCTCTTAATTTATTTTATTTAATTTTATTTTATTTTATTTTATTTTATTTTATTTATTTATTTATTTATGTATTTGAGACAGAGTCTCACTCTGCCGCCCAGGCTGAAGTGTAGTGGCGCTATCTCAGCTAACTGCAACCTCCACCTCCTGGGTTCAGGTGATTCTCATCCCTCCCCACAGGCGCACGCCACCATGTCCAGCTAATTTTTTATTTTTATTTTTTTTTGTATTTTTGTACAGATGGGGTTTCACTGTGTTGCCCAGGCTGCTCTCGAACTACTGAGCTCAAGGGATCTGCCCGCCTTGGCCTCCCAAAGGGCTGGGATTACAGGTGTGAGCCACAATGCCTGGCCAGGAAGAAATTTTTTTTTTTTTTTTTTTTGAGACAGAGTCTCTCTCTGTCGCTCAGGCTGGAATGCAGTGGCCAGATCTCAGCTCACTGCAAGCTCCGCCTCCCGGGTTCCCGCCATTCTCCTGCCTCAGCCTCCCGAGTAGCTGGGACTACAGGCGCCCGCCACCTCGCCCGGCTAGTTTTTTGTATTTTTTAGTAGAGACCGGGTTTCACCGTGTTAGTCAGGATGGTCTCGATCTCCTGACCTCGTGATCCGCCTGTCTCGGCCTCCCAAAGTGCTGGGATTACAGGCTTGAGCCACCGCGCCCGGCCAGGAAGAACTTTTTAATAGCATCTGCCACAAAGGTAGCAAGGTTCCTGACATGAGAAGGATCCAACCACCGTGGCAGGGTTAGAGGGGAGTCAACTCTTAAAAGTCCAGGCTTTTTTTCCCGCCAGCCCTGCTGAGTAAAGCCCGGTGTCCAGATTGCCCGGGGAGTGCAAAGCCTGCCCACCACATCAGGGAACTGCAGGCAGGGACGGACTCCCTAGCTCAGGCCTTCCCCACCTTCCCCACAGGGGTTCTCTCTGGGAAATTGCTCCTTGCTTCACCCACTCCTGGCCTCCTGCTGTGCCATTTCCAGGAAAGAAGCTAGCATGACCTTCATTGCTCAAGAACCCCAAGTTCTTAGGTCCAGTCTAAACCGTTCCTGGGACTGGATGAAAAATACGTCTGTGGGCTCTGTTTCCCATGACTGTAGGTATGACTGGCCCACTCCTTTCGGTGAAGAAGTCCTTTGTTGACCAGAGAAAAAGGGGCTGCAGTGGGTAACCCTTCCCTTTGGACTCAGCACCTCCTTGGTTAGTCTGAAAAGTCTTCAGTGCTTTGTCCACTTTCCTTGAAGTTAGAAAGCAGCAGAGTCCTGCATGTCCACTTTCCTCCTCTCCCTCTGCTGGTGATGACCCTCGGCAGGTGGGCAGCCCTGGGCAGCTCTGCCTCACTCCAGTTCCTCTAGCTCATCAACTGATTTCCTAGGTAGGAGTCACTCACCGCGCTCCCTGTGATTCACTCACTGGGGCTGGTTAACCTGTTTACCTTCCTGCCTCTCTCCTGAGTAGGAGTGGCCCTGGCTCCCTCCCTCCGGCACGCCTGACAAACTGTCCTCCTATGACTGCTGCTCTGCCCGCTGGGCTCGCACCAACTGCCCCCGACCCTGGGAGGTCTCTGCCCGATCCCTACTTAAAGTGTAATGGAAAAAAAAGAGCTTTGAAATCAAACACACTTGGTTTGTGACTCAGCTGCTAACCTGAGATGCCCTGGCTTTTCTTTGGAGCCTGGCGGGGAGGGGAGAGTGGGGAGGCGAGGGGGAGGGGATTGGGGGGGCGGGGGATGATTTCTGAGTCCCAGTTTCACCACTTGCTGTCTGTCTGAAGCTGAGCCAGTTACTTAACTCTCTGGGCCTCAGTTTCCTCATCCATAAAATTAGAGTAATCATGATACCTACTTTCAAGGTGTGTTGTGAGAAATAATTTAAAGCAGATCATCTGATTTAGATTCATTTGTAAAAATGTCTGGCACATAAATATATACAAGCGTTATTACTGTTTTTTTTTTTTTCTTTGAGACAGTGTCTCACTCTGTGGCCCAAGCTGGAATGCAGTGGCATGATCTCAGCTCACTGCAACCTCGGCCTCCTGAGGTGATTCTCCTGCCTCAGCCTCCCAAGTAGCTGGGACTACAGGCTACTGTAGTAACATGCGTAACCATGCCTGGCTGATTTTTGTATTTTTAGTAGAGATGGGGATTTCACCATGATGGCCAGACTGGTCTTGAACTCCTGGCCTCAAGTGAGGGGCTCTTTTAAACAACCTTGTTTGGGCTCCATCCCAGACCCCTCAATGCCTGCCTTGGCCTCCCAAAGTGCTGGGATTACAGGCGTGAGCCACCGGGCCCGGCAGTTATTTTTTAATTAATTAAATAAATAAATAAATAAATAAATAATGTATGTTCCCTTGTTCAAACTATTTCCTCTTGCCAAGCCTTAATTTCCCCATCTAAAAAAAAATGGGAATAATACTGCCCACCTCCCTGGACTTGTCAGTATTAAATGAGAGAGTGTCTATAAAGCACCCAGCTTTAGGGTGTAGCACATAATGTGACTACAAGGTCAAGCGTGTAGTGTTTGGTGGGTGTTGAATCTCCTTCCCCTGTGCTGGGGAGCCTTCCCCGACTCCCCTCCCGTCCTAGGTGTTCTTGCCTTCCTAACTCCCGCAGCAGCCCTTCAACCAGGAGGGATTCTTTCTGGACGGATGGCTGCTTCCCAGTCCGCAGTCCCCAGAGGCAGAGCTTCTGGCCTCCTTTCCCCGGCTTTTTCCTGGACTGTCTAGGGACAGCAGAACCTAAGAACTGTGCAGCAGAACCTAAGAACTGTGCAGGCCTCGCCCTGTTCACCCCTGCGCTCCCTCTCCATCTCTCACTGACATATTTTCAACCACAAATATTTATTGAGTGCCCACTGCCCCGCCTGCTGTCCTTCCCCCTCCTGCTGCATCCCTCCCCTCCACTAAGGCCTTAAGGGGTGAAGATGTCTGCAGGCACCAGGGGGAGAAAAACGAGGTTGAGGGGAAGTACCCAAGAAAGCTCTGAAATGAGATGGAAACCATGTCTGCCTGGAAATTTCATTCACTCAACGCCCCACATCTTGGGTATTAAAAAGAGGCAGAGTTTTGGGATTAGGCATAAACAGGATGAGTCACAGCTCAGTCACTCTCTCTGTGATGTTGTGACTTGCCTCTCTTTGCCTTAGTTTCCTCAAGTGTAAAATAGGGATGACAATAGCACCGGCCTGGGAAGACGTGAGAATGAAATGAGATGCCAGTGGACACCTTAGCAGTGTCTGTGCACACAGCAGCTTCTTAAGGAAATGGTCCCTACCCGGGACATTATACAGACGTTAATCAACAACATGGCCCGGCTTTTTTTTTCTCTCTCTCTCCTGGACAGGACGTCCCAACCTTTCTTAGTCCGTAACACACCTTTGGACATGATGGAATATGCGAAGGGGCCTCCACCCACAGCATGACAAATCCCAAGCATCCATAATCGCACACATACCAGTGTGTGCACACACACACTCACACTCACACCCATAAAGATCTGACACTCCTTGAAGGCACACTAACTCACTATTTTATCATACTTATCCCAGTGTGCCACAGTTACTGGCTTATATGCCTGTCTCTGCCATCTTATTTTATCTGTCTCCAGAACACAGCAAACTACATGCCCTTCAATAAAGGGTGTATGAATTATTCATGAATCCATTTTGCCTGGTGCCTAGCCCTGTGTCTGGCTTGACGCAGGTGTCCCCAAGGTGTGGCATGGCTGGGTGAATGCAAATAAAAGGTATATAAAAACATTCAGCCCTGCCCTCCTCTCTTCTCCACGCTCACCACCCGCTCACCACTCGCTCCGGTTTCCAGACCCAACATTGGCAAAACAGCACTGACGAAACCCAAAACTTCAGGACACACCCAAGCACGTAAAGGTCAGGCACCTGGGCAGGTCAACAGTGCGGCATTTCAGCCTGGGTCTTTTGGGGGAACAGCTTCACAAGGGGCTGCTCTCCAGCCTGACCCATTCTCCTTGTTCTGTAAGGCCCCTGCCTCCAGCCTTTGGGCTCACTTGCAGCCCTAACCTCCACGAACCCCCACTTTGCTTTCTCCATAACAAATTCCCCGGCCGGGCGCAGTGGCTGACGCCTGTAATCCCTGCACTTTGGGAGGCCGAGGCGGGCGGATCACGAGGTCAGTAGATCGAGACCATCCTGGCTAACACGGTGAAACCCCGTCTCTACTAAAATACAAAAAATTAGCCGGGCGCGGTGGCGGGCGCCTGTAGTCCCAGCTACTCCGGAGGCTGAGGCAGGAGAATGGCGCGAACCCGGGAGGCGGAGCTTGCAGTGAGCCGAGATGGTGCCACTGCACTCCAGCCTGGGCGACAGAGTGAAGACTCCGCCTCAAAAAAAAAAAAAAAAAAAAAAAAAACAAATTCCCCTTCTAAACAAAGACTGACAGCACCCACCTCCGCAGCACCTGCAAGGCCTCGCCTCCCCTCACCTAGCCTCACCTCTCCATCAGACTCTCCTGTGGGGGGGATGAGGCCGTATACTTTGCTGGCATCTTGCTCCAGAAAAGGATGGAGCTGAGCACACCCCTGCCCTTTTGCAGCACTCCCTCCCACTTGCAGGAGGGAGAAGGGAACGGGAGGGAAGGAGAAGAGAGGGCAGGGGAGGGCAACGCTGCTCCAACAACCACACTCTGGGTGAGCCTGGGGTGCTAGGACGGCTCCACTGGGCAGGGACAGCAGTCCAGCAAGCTGGAGGCTCCTCGTTTTGCCAGTGGTGAGCTCTACCTGGGACAGGGGTATCGGCTCCCACCCTCAGGTCTGAGGCTGTGCCTGCCCAGTGAGCACCTCAGCACCCCGGACCACCCTTCCAGGCGCAGGCACCAGGGAATGGGCAGAGGGACTAACCGACCTGTAGGGATTGAGGGTGCAGATGGTCACTGCGGGGAAGACAAGCTTGTCCGAGTTGAGGTTGATGTTGAGGCTGACGGGGTAGCTGAAGTACTCTCCGAAAAGCAGGCCGAATTGCCAGTACATCATGCCAAAGGTGCAGAGCCAGAGCACTGCCCAGAAGGCCGTCTTCATGCGGTTGTGCTGGGAGCACACCAGGCGGATGGCGCCGTGGATGGTGGTATTGTTGCAGAAGAACTCGAAGAGCTCTCGGTAGGAGCGGTGGAACTCGATCAGGGCCTCCTCCTCCGCCGTGGGCTGCTGGGGTGCCGCAGGTTCTGGGCCCAGCCCCTGCTCCTCACGCTTGTCCCCCTTCTTGAGCCCTGGGGTGGGCTGTGGAGGGCTAGCGTCCTGCTCCTCCAGCTTGTTCCCCTCCATGAGCCCTGCGGTGGGCTGCAGAGGTCTAGGGTCCTGCTCCTCCAGCTTGTTCCCCTTCATGAGCCCCGAGGCGGATTGGGGAGAGCAAGGGTCAGGGTCAAGGCTGAGCTCTGGGCCCTGAGTGCCCTCTCCCATCACCCCTGGAACCCAAGTGAGGTTGCCCCTGGCCATGCCCACGTCCCACCCTGCGCCCACATTCTCCCACTCCTCCCTCCCTCCTCCACCTTTCCTGGAGCCAGCAGACCTGCGGGAGTTGGGGCCAAAAGTGCCGGAGCTGGGCTTCCCTGGAACAGCCTCTCCTCTGCTTCCCTGAGAGGGCCACCCTTTGGTTTCTGTCCCAGCACCTCCTTTTCTGCCTCTGCCCTCTTCCTTTGATCTTCCTCTGGGATCTGTGTCTCAGCGCCTGCCTCTCACTCCCTCTCTATCTGCCCTGTTTCTCTTTGGGTCTCTCCCAGCTCTCCTCTTCCTGACCTGGCTCCTCTCTCTAATCCTGCCTCTCTTCCCTTTCCCCACTTGCCTTGCCCCTTCTCACTCTAGGCCCTCACCTCCAGCCTCTGGCCCTGACCTCGAGCTGCGTCCTGATTCTGTCTCTACCCCAGGACTGCCGGGCTCCAGGAGGTCTGGGCTGCCTCCAGCTTCCCACTCCCAGGTTGCGGCTGGACTGGGACTGGTTCCTTTCCAGTTGAATCTGGCAGCCAAACCTCTCCTCCCCTCACCTGACAGGTGCAGCGGCCGGGCTGGGGAGCCCGCCCGCCGGCCGGCCAGGGAGAGAAGCAACAGGAGTCTCATTAACATCTCAATTAAAAGTGAGCAGGGCAGGGGGAGGGGCTGAGGAGGAGTCAGAGCTGGGAGTTTTCCAAAGGAAGGAGGGCTCCCGAGGGCAGGTGAACTGGGAGTACTGGACCTGAGAAGGCAGACTCTGGGCAGGGGCTTTAGATGCAGACCTGACAGGCAAGGAGGCTGGGGGACAGGAGGGCAGGTTACGGGCAAAGATCAGAACAAGTAGAAGGATCCTGAGCCCACAGCCAGGAGGGCGACACAAGGAGAAGGGGCCAGCCAGGCTGAGAGGGCCTGGGTGGGGAAACCGGAGGACAAGGGAGACAATAGAGAGGGACAGCAAAGGATGGAGAGATGGGGATGGAGGAGGGGCACTGAGTGAGTAGAGGCGGGTGGGGGGCGGAGGCGGGGGCAATAGGAGGAGCCAGCACCAAAGGGAGTCTCTCTCCAGGCAGGAGAGCAAGGGGGGAGTCCCAAGTGTGCTTCCAGGAACTGGAGTCTCAGCAAGTGGGCAACCCTCTCAGGGTACCCACAGCTCAGCCTCACCCCCAGGCCCTGGAGAGAAGAGAGAATAGGTCTCTGCAAACCTCCTCCTCACTCATTAAGTGGACGCGGCGCACTCAGGTGGGGCGCATCTGCCTCCTCCTGGTCCCTCCTGTTTCCTGCTGAGTCCTCACCACTCCCTCCAACCTTGTCCAGACCCGGGAGGGGCCCAGGTGAAGCTGGGGGCTAGGCGGGGCCTTAGGACATTCTGTTCTTTTTTACACCATTGGCTGCCAGGCCAGGAATGTGTAATCGCCCCTGTTGTGGTCACAGAGTTGCAGGAATGTGGGCAACCAGAAGCAGCACGAGGGCCAAGCAGGACACTGTGGGCACAGACCCGGAGCCCAGGGAGAGGCAGGGACAGTAGGCACTGAAGGTGCAGGGAGGACGTGGCCAGCGCTGGAAAGGAAGAGAGTGGGCATGGCGCAAGCCTGGGCAGGCCCTGGGAGGAGGAGAAATTCACTGATAGGGGCTATATTTTTCTCCAAAATCTCTTTCCAAACTTAATGCAGCAAAAGGATAAGGAGTGGAATGCCAAGTGGTGAGCAAGGAGAGAAGGGAGGGTCAGAGAATCAGACCCAAAAAGGGCTCTAGGAGACTCTGGAGAACCACCCACACAGCCCGGGCCCTGCACGCAACAGGGAGGCCTGCCGCTCCCTCGAGGGCCCCACAGGAGGCAGCCAGGAGTGCAGGAATGTGGTCGCTGGCTTGTCCTGCCTCCCTCCGCAAGCCCACAGACAAAGGCCCAGCCTGAGCACTGATACACACTGGGGAGGAGATAGGCCTGCAAATAGGTAGCTGCAATACAATAAGATAAGGTTTCTATTTGTACACTTTAAAAGATCGTCTTTAAAACGGACTTCTAACCAAAGCACAGATCTCAGATTTCTCAGAGATAAGAGATAAGAGCCAAGGGCTGGGGGAGCCTAGGGCTCAGTGCAGGAGACTCAGGAAGCCTTCCCAGAGAAGGTGTCCTCTCTGCTGAATCTTGAAGAGCAAGGAGTTTAGCAGGCAAAGAGAAAAGGCGGTACTCCAGGCTCAGGGTCCGACCTGGTCTGTGGCTTCCTCTCTTGCCGCTGTCTCTTGCGACTTCTTAAAGTGAGAGCGGTGTCAACCAGGATTCCAAACCAGGTTCCCTTGCTTACCTTGATACTGCTCATGATACCTCCCCTTGGAAGGGACAGCTGGATTTTTCTTCATTGTCCTGATGAAGAAACTGACCCTTCCCAAGGATAAACCAGTTTTCTGAGGTTAGAAAACAAAATATGAGCAGAGCTATAAACAGAATTCAGAATCCTCCTCCTCCTCTGGCGTTATCTACTTAGCGCTTTAGCCATTTACTTCCTGAGACAGACTCACGGGGGATCGGGGCTCCGCTGCACCAGGATGGGAAAGCCGGGAAGGCCTCCCTCACTCCCACACAGAGCCCATGGATTCATCCAGTCTCTGGGTGCAGGGTGATCTCCTTGGCTCTGTGAAAAGGTCTCTGCACTGTCCCCGCCACCCCACAGATCCCAGATACCCCTAGAAACTCCAGTCTCCCTCGAGCCAGGTCCTTACATTGGGCGTGGTCCTCCCTGTAGACAAGGTGCTCAGCACCCTGGCTGTTTGATCTCAAAGGTTCTGAAAAGCACCTCCCTGCCTTTTCTATTTGCTAGCTCATGCCTGAAATCCAACCACTAGCTGAAGGCAGCATGGCAAATAGTTTTCGTATCAAGGGCTCTGTGAGAAGAATTGCAATGCCTGGTCTGGGCTGAGCCGGAGGGTGGTGACCCTGCCACGTCCTGCCGGGTATGGGAGTGGCAATGCAAGCCCAGTGCTGCAGCATTCTAGACCTGGAGTGGGCTAGAGCAGGCTTGGTGTTGTGAGGAAAATAGAAATCTGAGACCTGCGCTTTGGTCAGAAGTCCATTTTAAAGATGATCTTTTTAAAGTGTACAAATAAAACACAAATATGTTTTTGTCATAATACAATTTTTCAGCAATACGGAAGTATGTAGAACAATAAAAGCTTCCCTTTGTCCCCTTCCTTTCCCTCCCCCAAGGGGAGCCACCGTAATTTGTATATCTCTCTGTATCTTTTTGTGTGCCGTTATAAACTTACATGTATTTTTTATTTTTTATTTTATTTTTTTATTTTTTATTTTATTTTTATTTTTTGAGACAAAGTCTGGCTCTGTCACCCAGGCTGGAGTGCAGTAGCGCGATCTCGGCTCACTGCAAGCTCCGCCTCCCGGGTTCACACCATTCTCCTGCCTCAGCCTCCCAAGTAGCTGGGACTACAGGCGCCCACCACCACGCCCAGCTAATTTTTTGTATTTTTAGTAGAAACAGGGTTTCACCGTGTTCGCCAGGATGGTCTCGATCTCCTGACCTTGTGATCCGCCCGCCTCGGCCTCCCAAAGTGCTGGGATAACAGGCGTGAGCCACCGTGCCCGGCCTACATGTATTTTTTAAAAACAAAACATATAGTTCTTTTTTATAAGAGGGACCATGTTATAGGTATGTTTCTACAACTTCCATTTTTGCTTTTATTTTCTTATTTATTTTAGAGACAGGATCATGCACTGTCCTCTAGGCTGGAGTACAGCAGCATGATCATGGCTCACTGCAGCCTCCAACTCCTAGGCTCAAGCAGTCTCCTGCCTCAGCCTCCCAAAGCACTGGGATTACAACCATGGGAGCCACCATGCTCAGCCCCTATTTTTGCTTTTAAACTATGTGACTTTGAGAAAGGCACTTGAGCTCTGTGGGCCCCGGTGATCTTACCTGAGAAAATGAAAGGGCAAGAAGGGGTGGGTAAGGCAACCCGGATGGGCACAAAGACTTTTTCCAGCTGACCTTGCATCTAGCCCCCTGCTTCACGCATGAGGGGACTGAGGCCCACAGAAGCAAAGTGACTTGGCCACAGTCACCCAGGAGTTAGGGGTGGGGCCAGACTGAAAACTGCGCCACTCCTTTCCAAGCTCAGTTCTCCTTCTCTGATTTTGAGGGAAGTAGTTTTATTCTATAAGAAGTCAAGAGCTTTGTAGACTCTGTCTTGGAAGGACCTCCCGCCTTCCCAGGACTACCCCCGGACTCCCCCAGAGCCCCAGCCCTTCCCGCCAACCCAGGGCTGCCTTCCCCTCCCAACACCAGCTATCCTCTAACCCTGTGGTGTGGCCATAAGATATGCACGGCTGCAGGGAGAGAAGTGAAACCAGAGGGGCTGCCGTGGGATGAGGGTTATGAGTGCACAGGGTCTTCCTGCCTCTTGTTCTCCGCGGACAGGAGATGACGGAAGTAATCACTCCAGCCTCCTAGGGAGAGCCCATCTCTGCACTTACCACTGTTTACTATTATTTATTATTATTATCCTGATGTATGTGTGTTTGTACATATGCAGGGGCAGAGACCAGGTGTATTCATCTTGGTGACCTCAGTGTCTAGTGGTCACTGTTTGCCGACCCACTCTGTGGAAGACAGCAGAACTAGCATCTTTGCTAGTTTATCTTTGACAGAGCAGGATATGCTATGAAAAAGCATCTGCAAAACTTCAAACACCCTAACTTCCTCTGACAACCCATTTATTTGTGGTCTACTAATTTGTCTAAATGTTCTTCGCTTTTCCCTGTTCACTTCTATCCTTTCCAGGATGAGAATCAGTTACTTAGTTAAATGCAAGTCTTTATTCTTACTACTTGGAGCTAATTAGCCACTTCACACTGGGGGCTGCCCACTGTGGAAGACAACAGTCTTTTCAGCTGCCCTTATGTGGTACAGATTTCTCTTTCATTTAAAACGATGGACCAGAAAAATGCCACATTTCATCTAGTCCCCTGGCAGTTTACTTAGAAGTTCACTCCTAGAAGTTGATCGCTTTGAGTTAAGACAGGGTTTATCAACCTTGGCACTATTGACATTTTCAGCTGTATCTTTCTTTGTGGTGGGACAGGATGATTCTGTCCTATCTACAATCCTGTGCATTGTAGGACGTTCAGCAGCATCCCTGGCTTCCATCTATTAGATGCTAGTAGCACCTCCTGAGTCATTGCGACCAAAACATCTCCAAATATTGCCAAATGACTTCTGGGGGGCAAAGTCACCCCCGTTGAAAAGACTCGGTTAAGGCATTGTCACCACTGAAAATGCAAATACTCTGGAAAAAGACAACCCTCATCAGTTATGCACTTCTGGGTGTTTGCCAGACCCTTTCCAAGAGCACTAGTCAGCTAAGAGCAGAGTGGAGAAGAAGAGAGAAGAAATAGTATTTTTCTTCTGGCCGGGTGCAGTGGCTCATGCCTGTAATCCAAGCACTTTGGGACGTTAAGGTGTGTGAATGACATGAGGCCAGGAATTCAAAAACAGCCTGGCCAACATGGCAAAACACCATCTCTACTAAAAATACAAAAACTAGCTGGGCCTGTTGGCGCATGCCTGTAGTCCCAGCTACTCAACTTGGGAGGCTGAGGCCAGGAAAATCACTTCAACCTGGGAGGCAGAGGTTGCAGTAAGCTGAGATTGTACCATTGCACTCCAGCCTGGGTGACAGACTGAGACTCTGTCTCAAAAAGAAGAAAAAAGAAGAAGAATCCATTCCCACCAACCCCCTTTCTGGATGCCTCATGGGCCTGTGGAAAGAAGGGGCTCTCAGCAGCTCCCTCGGAAGAAGTCTTGGTAGAAGAGTCCCACCCTCACACACCTTTTAGGAGTCCTGGGGCGCTCGGTCTGGGTCTGGTGTTGCTCAGTGGAAATCAGTCTCAGGGAGACTGGTGAAGAACACAAAAGGAAAGAAGCAAAGACAGTGCCCTGCCCGTGGTGAACTTGTGAATTTCTCACCCCTGTGAGTCTCCCTTTGTCCTCCTGGGGATGGCCGGGCATTGTGGTAGCCAGTTATTGGTAAGATTTGTCTTTCATGATCCAGCTGGGAAACAAGAAACACTCTTTCAAAGTCTTTCAAACAAAGGAATTTAACACAGAGAACTAACTGGTCCATGGGTGATGGAGGAGTTGAGAAGCCAGTGGGAGATAGCTCAGAAAACAGCAGAGCAGGAAACAGCAACCATCTCTAGGCCTGGGAAGACAGCAGGGTGATGTAGCATCAAAGACCAAGAAGCCTCCGGAGCCATTTGGCAGGAACTAAATAGTGTGGACTTCTGGTAGGAGATGGGATTATGGAACAGGGAAGGAAGGAAGACAACCAACTGCAGGTGAAGCCGGAAAGCAGAGAGGGGAGAACTAGCCCGGCTGCTTCTCTCCTCCCACCCCACCTCCGTCCCACAGATCCGCAGGTAAACCAGCAGCCGACTGAACAATAAAGAGGCCACGGAGATAAAGTGATGGGGCCAGGATCAAAACCCAGATCTCAGGGCTCATTCCTTAGGGTGTAGAGAGTCCGTGAGGGCTGAAGCGCCAGCTTAGGGCTGGCAGCAGAAAGAAGGATACAGTCCAGCCAGCTGGGGTTAAAAGGGGTCTGACATAGTGGTTACCTCTGAAGCAGGAAGCTTTGACTGGGAAGGGCATGTAGCAACCTTTTGTAGTTCAAGGAACATTCTGGCGCCGGGTGTGGTGGCTCACGCCTGTAATCCCAGCACTTTGGGAGGCCAAGGCAGGTGGATCACGAGATCAGGAGTTCAAGACCAGCCTGGCCAACGTGGTGAGAC